AATGGTGGTCCTGCTCTCAACAAGACAACATGGTTTCTGTAGTATGTCCCGCAGTGCACTGGTATGTACTTAACAGGCCACTTCTTACATCCTATGATACCCGCCACCTTTTTTTTTTTTTTTCAACTTTATTTCTTCAGTGAGAGAGACAACACCCCCATCAGGATTCTAATGCCATGATCCACCCCCGGCCTTCAACGAGCCCTAGGCATGGGTAAGTGTGTGCCCAAAGTACTCAGAGAGGCCGCTGAACTTGAACTGAAACCTTCTCATCTGGAATCTACCCCCAAAGGCCTCACATCCTACCAATGTGCCACCGTGGGGTCCCCCAGTGTTTCTACTCTCTTAAGAGGACAATTGTGCTTAGCCAATCCCTCAAAAATAAGACTTTCCTGAGGAATTATTTCCAAACTTCACACCTGGTCCCTTTTGAATAATGTTCATTTTTCTATTGTTTGTGCATCTGTTTTTCTTTTTTCTTTTTCTTGGGAGAGATTTTTGCAATAGGGCACATGCGCTTGCCAGAGAGACAGAAAGCAAGAAACCCCCCAGGGGGAATGGCCACACAGCAATCTATTCTCCCGGGATCTTGGGCAGGCACGCACATGCACTCACTGTGAGTTTGAAGCCACCAGGTCCAGACTCGAATGGTGAAGGACGTGGGAGTCGAGCAGCGTAACCATTACACCATCTGCTGGTCCCTGTGCATCTATTTCTCAACATTAAACTGTAAGTACCTAAAATACGATGGTACCCACCCACAGGCTCCCTACTTAATTCATGAATCAGATCAGCTTTATCTAACCCAGGGATCTGCAGGCAACTGCAAGAGATGACTATTTGAAGCCAGTTACTGATGGTCCTGCCCTTGAAAACTCACCTGTTTAAATACCTCCCCTCCTTCTTGCAAATGAACTCTGTGCCACCATTTCATATATTAATATGTATGACTGATTCTGTATTCAAGTAAGTATGGAAAATAATACCATATGGTCTGTTTCTTCAAGAATTTTAGAAGTAGCAATAGATGCTTCATACACTACATACTGCCTTGGTATATTCACTTTTTATCTTTTTATTTAAAGTATACATCTTTAAGGTTATATCTGTCAGTTATTTTTGCCTTTCAGAAGCTTATATTAATATAAAGTTCATCAGTATTTTATTTAATTTAGATATTTTTATATTATTCCCTTGTTTACAACACACTTGCTTAAAGCTTTCCTATTTAACTTAAACTTATGCTGTTAGCCTCAAGAGTGTGAGATTGGGGACCAGCAGTTAGCGTAATGGCTATGTCGCTGGACACCCATGTAGTCGACCGCAGTTCGAGTCCTGGACCCCGTGGCTTAAACTCATGCCGGGCACATGTGTGTGCGTGCCCAAGATCCCAAGAGGATAATAAAGGAGAAGGGATTACGGCGTGGCCATCCCCCCTGGGGGGTGATTTCTCATTTTCTGTCTCTCTGGTGAGTGCACGTGCCCTGTAGCAAAAACCTCTCCAAAAAAAGTGTGAGATTAAATATTGATACTACTTTGACAAGAAACTTCACTATTAAAGGACCAGATGGTACTGTGGTGGTTAAGGTGGCTGGATCACACATGGCCAATTGCACGGTTTTGAGTTCAGGACCCAGCAGCTTGAAAAACAGGTTAGGCATGTGGATGTGCATGTCTAAAATCCTCAGAGGGGAATGGAGGAGATGGGACTACGGCATGGCCATCCCTCCTAGCGGGGGTGATTTCTCAGTTTTCCTCTCTCTTGCTCTTTCTCTAACAAGCATATGTACCCTACAGCAAAAAAAAAAAAAAAAGGAAGAAAAATGAATAACTTAATTCAATTTAATTTAAGAAAGTATGTTTAACTGACAAAACTGATATGAAACACCAAAGAACCAGGTATGACAGTAACATATAAAGATAATAACTTTTATTATATTAAAGACAATACAAGCCACATAAAGAACTGAGTACATACTTTGTTTTGTTCAAAAAGTATAAGCTTTAAAACTAAAAAAATTGTATATGTGTGTGTATCAAATATATAAGTGAAAAAAGTTAGGTCTATCACACTAAAAAAGACATTAAATTGTGTTATGGCAGTTTTATAGATATGTTCATTTTACTGGTTGGATCCTAAAGTGAATTTAGAATTTTTGTTCTTGGTAAAAAGTTTAGTGTCCTTAATTCACAACTAATACTTTTTGTGCATTTCTTTCTAAAACTAGAATGAATTTAAAATGGTATATAATGTTCATTTGATCTCTGTCAACTATTTTTAAATATGTATAATATAATCTTTAATCATCTTTTCAATAATACTCCAGCAAAAATTAGCAAAAGAACAAAAGTCACTAAAAGAAACAGTTCTGAATTATATTCATCTCAATTTAGTTACATTAATTTTTTAAGTGTAAATACTTTGTACAAATTGTACTTTCAGTAGTAAGTCTGACTTGTATTACAGATACCATCAAGAAAAAAATAAATCTAAAGTTTTCGTTGTGAGTATAGTTTTCTTACTAGTATAAACACTTAAAATTTAAATGGCTCAATCAGTCAATAAAGAAAGAAACATTAAGCTTTTCTTTTTTTTTTTTTACAAACTCTTTCACAGTCACAGCTTAGAGATACTAACATTTGCTCTTAATAAGAACCTGCACGTTTATTTCCTTGGGAAAATGGCACCGATTCTCCAGGTTTTCATACTACTTATCCATTAATACTCAAGCATTTATAATGGCAAACTATTAGCAGGAATTTTGGAGCTACGAGGGTGCAGAAGAATGAATGCATATTAAATACGACAAGTGCTCCACATTTCCAGGTGAAAACTTTGAGCAATCTAATGATGTATTTGTCCATATTCTTTTACTTGCAACTTCTCCAAAATGCCATCAAGTGGTTAGTGGTTAAGGCCAACACCATTTATTTTTGCACATTAGAAAACAAACACATTTTCACGCACTGTAACACAAGATAAAAGAGCAAAACTATTTGCTTACCAAAGGTCTAATTTCCTCTAAAACGCAGAAATTCTCTTCTTCTGAGATCATGATTAAATTTGACCACTGCAGTGGTCTTCAAATGTTTTTTGCTCATATACAATGTAACTGGAAAGGCATCTTTTAGTGGGATGAGGGTTGGGAGGGGCAATGTTTTTGAAGTTTTAATTAAAGAAATTGTTTCACACCCCTTTGTGTGCCTTTCTGAAAATTCTCCTTTTCCAGGAAATACACTTTCATGGATTCTAGGTAAGTGACAGGTGTTCCTTTCTTTTTTTCTTTTTTTTGGAGAGGTTTTTGCCATAGGGCACATGCGCTCTTCAGACAGAGACAGACAGAGAGACAGAAAGCGAGAAATCACCCCCCAGGGGGGATGGCCACGCCACAACCCCTTCTCCTCCATTCTCCTCTCGGGATCTTGGGCACACACGCAATCACGCCCGGCATGAGTTTTAAGCCACCGGGTCCAGGACACGAACTGCGGTCAACTACATGGGAGTTCAGCGACATAGCCATTACGCTAACTGCTGGTCCCAGGTGTTCCTTTCTTGTGTGAAGTGGGGAAAATGGTAATACTGAAATGAGAGATGGGAAGAAAGAATGCCAACCGATTGTAAATCACATCTTGTACAAGTGAAGGATTTGGAAATCAATTCCTATACATTGATTTGAAATTCTCTGCATGCTCCGAGGTGATACCTACCACAATCTGAATTCCACTCTGTATATAGGAACAGAGTTGTTAACTTGAGCTGTGATGAGAAAAAAGTGCTTATCCTAAGTTACTCCTTTGTCTAAAGAACTGATTTTTTGTTTGTTTGTTTCTGAAATGGTACCGTCACATTTTGAAATCTGCTTTTTGATCACATGGCTACCCAAAGTATACAACTGTGTGTAATTTAAAATATCACATCCCATTAGGCAACTGACTTGTTTTGTACATGTACAGATACTGAATTAAGAAAGCCACCATGGGACCAGCAGTTGGCCTAATGGCTGTGTCGCTGGACTCCCATGTAGTCAGTCATGGTTCGAGTCCCAGACCCGGTGGCTTAAACTCATGCCAGGTATGTGTGTGTGCGTGCCCAAGATCCCGAGAGGAGAACGGAGGAGAAGGGATTGTGGCGTGGCTGTCCCCCTCACTTTCTGTCACTCTGTCTTTCTGTGCCCTATAGCAAAAAAAAGAAAAGAAAAGAAAAAAGAAAAGAAAGCCACCCTAAAAATTATAGCATAGTCACCCCATCTGTCTGAAAAAGCTCATATAGAGCTATGGAAAGACAGAGAGGAAGATAATAGTTAAGCAGTTTTGTGTTTTGTTTTTTAAGGTTTTTGCCATATGGTGTGTGTGGTTACCCGAAAGAGACATATAAAGGCAATGAAAAGGAAAGTAAGAAATCACCCCTCAGGGGATGGTCACACTGCAGTCCCTTATGTACATTCTCCTCTTGGGACTTTGGTCATGCACGCATATGTACCAGCATGATTTTCAAGTCACAGGTCCAGGATTCAAATCGCAGTTAGCCATCTGGGAGTCCAGCACCTGAACAACCACACAACCTGCTGGTCCCAGTTTGGCTACTTTTATATGTAAATATGAAATGGGTGAAAACAGTCCATTGGGGCCAGCAGGTGGCATGGTGATTGGGGCCCTGGACTCCCACACAGCCAACTGTGGTTCATGTCCTGGACCTGGTGGCTTGCTTTTTCACTCTCTCTCTCTGCGTCTCTTTCTCTCTGGTGAGCACACATGCCCAATAGCAAATTAACAAAATAATAAACTTAAAAATTAAATTGAAAGAAGATTGGCTATTATGATTTTAAAAGAAGTCTAAATATAAAAACAAAGTATTACTACTGCTCATCTTAAAACTTAACAAATAAGGCATTTGCCTGGAGAACGCTCTACAATGTTTGGCTCAGTGCAGTAGCTACGTTGGCTTCAAGCAGAAGCAGAAAGGATATGCTTGGTGTTCAGTCTCTGGAGGTATGAGCTGACTTTCTCCTGGAATGCTAGTGTGGCTTCACAGCCACAGACATCTTCAGTGGAAATCAGTCTTCTTGCTTCTTCAACCGCTAAGACAATGACAGTACACAAAATGTTAGTTATCTAGGAATTATAACTAATCAGGAAATGTACAATTCAAGATTTCCATTTATAAGACTTACCTAAATGCATTTTTCCAGAGGCAAAAGGATATGAGAATAAGCAGAAAGAGGTGAAAATACTTTTGAATGTTAATGTCACAGAAAAATTTATAGTAGGAGACGTTGGGAAAATGTTTTCAATTGTCAAAGTTGAATGATGGTTATATGAGAGTTCATTATATTATTCGGTATACATTGGTGATTACTAGAAGATATCTACAGTATAAAATGAAGTTTAAAAAGATTGTTGGTGGCCAGCCCCATCGTCTAGTAGGTTACAAGAGCTGAATTCCACATGGCTGACCACAATTTGAATTCCAGATCCAGTGGCTTGAAAAACAGATGGAGCATGTGTGTATGCATGCCCAACATCCCAACAGGATGGAGAAATGGAGAAGGGACAGCAGCATGACCATAATCATTGTGAGTTGCTTTCTCTCCCTCTCTCATAAGACTGTCTTACATAATGGACTGTAAGCTCCAGGAAGACAGGGGTTCAGTGGTCTATACCAATTAAAACACCCCATAGAATATTGTAAGACTGAATGTAGCAACCTTTAAAGTTTGAGAGGGCAATCCATTTATGATAGCACCAAAAAGAATAAAATACCTAGGAGTAAATCTAGAAGTAAAAGGATTGTAAAATGAAAACTACAAGACATTGTTGAAAGAAATTAAATTAATTTCAAAAGACCTGAATAAATGGAAAGATATTCCCCACTAATGGATTGGAGGTTGTTAAAAATGTCAGTATTCCCAAACTATTCTGTAGATTCAACACAATGCCTATCAAAGTCCTAAGTGTTGTTTTTGCACAAATTGACAAGATCTTACAATCTTTTACTGACCCTAAAATTTTAGAAATCTCTCTCTCTCTGTCTTTCTTTCATACACACTATCATGATTAAAGAAAAAAAATTTTAATTGCCAAACGGCATGTGCATTCACCAGAGAGATGGTGTGGGGTGAGAAAGCACTCACCAATGGGCATGGTCACACCACAATCCCTTCTCCATTTCTCCTTCCTGTAGAAATTTGGGGCACACATGCATATACACTCAGTATGTTTTTTCAAGCCACCAAGGCTGAGATTCAAACCACATTTGGCCACATGGGATCTGGCTCCCTTAACCACCAGAGTCCAGGACAGGCCAAGGAAAAAAATTTAAGTAAATTTTGTGGTATGTAAATTACACCTTGAAGTTTTTAAAGGAAGGGAGGGAAGGCAGCTAGCTAAAAGAAGTAAATATAAAATTGAGCCATAAACCTAGAAGTGATGTACCTATTCTTACTCAATTTTTCAAGCTGTCAATGATCTCTTTTTTAAGTAAGTAAATGTTAATCAAATAAAATGAGGTGACAGTGTAAACCATTATAAATCATGTTGGGTTTCTCTATTTCCAGGAGAGAAAAAAAAGTCCAAGACTGATTTTTCTGAAGATTAGCAATTTAGGTAGGCTGGCAATACGTGGTCTTACTCAATTCTGAAAGCAAGCTATTCCTTATTATGCTTGCCCTTCCCGAGAAACTGACCCATACTTTACTTTAAATGAAAAAATAACTTCTGAGCATGTGGTATGTGCCAGGTGCTATGGTAGATGCTAGAAATACAAACAAAATCACTGCCCTTGAAGGTTGAGGTTTACTAACTACTGGACTATTAAAAACACAAGTCTAAAACACAACTCTTGCATTTTCTCTCCAAAATCTGATCCACCCTCAGTCTTCCCCATCTTGATAAAGGTACTCAGTCCTCTAGGTGTTCAAGTATGAAATCCGAAGGGCATCCTTATTCCTCTCCTGCTCTCTCCCAACATAACCTATGTAACCAAGCCCTGTTCATTCTACCACATAGTGTATCTTGGGTTACTTTAATTCCAACACCATTTTCTTGTGCTACCTTTACTTGGGTTACGTCACTTTCAGCACCATTGCAATAGCTTCTTTTTTGGGGTGGGGAGGGGATTTTTTTGCTATAGGGTGTTGTGCTCACCAGAGAGACAGAGACAGAAAGTGAGAAATCACCCCCAAGGGAGGATATCCAGGCTGCAATCTCTCCTCCTCCATTTTTTTCTCGGGATCTTGGGCATGCACGCACATGTGCCCGGCATGAGTTTCAAGCCACCAGGTTTAGAACTCAAATCACAGTTGTCCAGTAGCTTAACCACTACACCACCTGCTGGCCCCTGCAGTAGCTTCTTAACTAGTCTCCCTCTTCTATTCACCCTGTTTGATCTACTCTCTTTTTTTTAAAGTCTATTCACTTATCTCTTCCATAAGAGAGAGACACACAGAGAGAAAGAGAAGGAAGGAGATATCCCAAACAGAGCGTACATGCCACAATCCACCCCCTAAACCCAGCCAGCCTGGACCATGGGCACATATGAACCCAGGACCCTTCCCATGTGGGTCAATTGCAAAACCACTGCACCACCACCTGGCACTTCTATCCATATAGCAGCTGGGATGACTTTTTATTTATATTTTTTAAATATAAATAGAATCACATAGCTCCACTACTTGAAACCCTTCACTAGCTTCCCATTGTCCTTAGAATAAAATATTGGATCATCAGAAAAGTCATGACTCATTTTTGCATAGAAAACCAGAAAAAATACTTCAGGACTTTTCTGATGACCCAATATAAACTCCTTTCTTTGCCCTTGGCCCAGATGATCACCCTGATTTGGCCCCTGCCTGGCTCGCCACAAGCTCTGCTGCCACCCTCCGCTGGCTGGTCACGCAGCATCACGCTGGCTCCCTTTCCTGTCCCCCTCCACTTAAACTATCACTACAGTCAGGAAGCTATTGCAAAGGTCAGGCTTTGGCTAATGTGGTGACGATCGTGCTGGAGTCAAACCACTCGAGATTATAAATATATATATATGTTCTGAAAGAAGACACGTTTCAATGGAAGAATAAGGAAACTGGTAAACGAGGTTAAAAAAGGAGATGACCTAGAAATTGAACAAGCATGATTTTGTAATATTTGATTCACTCAGAGTAATTTATGAACACACATAAGTTCCAAAGCATAATAAAAATAAACACTAATAAACCTGCTGTCCAACTTAAGAATTAAAACATGATGAATACTGTGGAAGAGACATGCAAAAAGTGAAAAGATAAACATGATATAGGAAGAGATATTTGCAATACATAAAAAACATTGAGGATTTATAATGTGAAGAGTCCCTGTGATTCAATAAGAAAAAAAAGAAATAACGCAATAGGGGCTGGCAGATAGCATGGTGGTTAAGGATGTTGGACTCCCACATGGCCAATCGTGGTTCAAGTCCCAGAACTGGCAACTTGCTTTCTCGCTTTCTCTCTCTCTCTCTCTCTCTCTCCATCCCTCTCTGGTAAATTTAAATAAATAAATAAATAAATAAATAAATAAATAAATAGTTAAATAAAATATTTTAAAATAAAAGAAAGAACTCAACCAAAAATCTAAAAACAGCATAAATAGTATTTCCACGTGTGAAACTAGATGGCCAGTAAATACAGGAGGAGATGCTTCACGTCATTAGTAACTGGGAAATGGATAAATGCCATTGAATCGGCAAAAATGTAGTCTAACAAAACCAAATGTTGGCAAGGATGTGGTTCTTGAACTTTGACAATCAAAAGTGGTAAGGCAAGAGGATCATGGCAAAGGACGGGAACCAGCAAGCACAGGGCACATTCCGGAAATAGCAAAGGGCCCCCTAGGTCTGGACCACAGGATCTGGGGAGGAATGGACTTGGGAATAAATGTAACAGGAAAGTTTGAAAAGACAGGATGATGTAGAACACTAGTTACCAGGAGCTGGGGGAAGTGGGAAGAGAGAATTATTATTTAATAGGTACAGAGTTTTAGTCTAGGATGACAAAAATTGGCAATGAGTATTGGTGATGGTTGCACAATGTGAATGTACTTCCTCTTTTTGTTCGGCTCTGTTATTTTTGCAGTGTGCTCACCAGAGAGAGACAGGGATAAGAAAACATCACCCATGGGGATTGGTTATATTACAATCCGTTCTCCTCTATTTCTCTGTCCTTATGGGATTTGGGGCACACACACACATACGCAGACATGTTTCTCAATCCACAGGGTCAGGACTTGAACTATGCAGTGAGCCATGTGGAATGCAGCTGCCTTAACCAGCAGGCCATCGAGCCCACCTGTGAATGTACTTAATGCCATTGAACTGCATACTTAAAAATGGCTAAGACGGTGGGAACACCAGATGGTGCGATGGTTACGTTGCTGGACTCCCACGGAGTCCACCATGGTTCAAGTCCTGGACCCCTCAGCTTAAAACTCATGCCGGGCATGTGTGTGCTTGCTCAAAGTCCTGAGAGAAGAGTAGAAGAGAAGGGATTGCCGCCGTGGCCATCTCCCCCCTCAAGGGTAATTTCTTGCTTTCTGTCTCTCTGGGTCTGTCTCTCCAGCAAGTGCATGTGCCCTACAGCAAAACTCTCTCTCTAAAAAAAAGGCTAAGGTGGTAAACGTTATGTATATTTTGCCACAATAAAAAAAATGCAGCAGGCCAGCCTCATGGCCCAGTGGTTAAGGAAGTTGGATCCTACATAGCCTTTTGAGCAGTTCAAATTCCAGCCCCGGCAGTTTGGCAAAACATGCCAGCCACGTGTGTAGGTGCTCAAAATCCTGGCAGGATGGAGAAGTGAAGCAGAGGGAATTGCAGCATGATCATGATCACTGGGGCTTGCTTTCTCTCTCCCTTCTTTCTGTCTATCTCTGGAGAGTATACATGCCCTCTCTCTAGCAATTAAAAAATGTCACACTTAGATAGTAAGATACTTTAATTAGAAAGGAAAAAAGAGATGGAATCAGATCACAGAAGGCAGACTGGCAGAAGAACATAACTGTTTTACTCTGTAGACAGCGGAGAGCCACTAGAGGAATCTAAGAAAAAAGATCATTACTGCTCTTTAGACACAAAGATAGACAAGCTCACGCCTACCAAAGGTAGTAAGCCTAAGAGGCCACCTTCACCTGAACACGTCCTCTTGTCTTCATTCAAATTATAGCCAGGAAAGCAGTCGCAGTGGTAGGACGCCGGCCCGTCGCTCACGCAGATGTGCTGGCAACCGTGAGTGCCCAGAGCACACTTATCGTGTGCTGTCCGTGAGAGGCGCAGCAAGGAAAATACTCACATGTTAATTACATAGAAAACTAAACACAACTTGGGTGAAAAAGAAAAGTTTCATTTAGATCCAAGTGCTGAGAACAAACCCTTCAGCAGTCAGCAACAAGCCCACGTTTCAAGAGAAAGCCTGTTTCCCTTCTCCATTGTGTACACTGCGTACATCCCTCCAGCCTCACCTTTCACACATACTCTCCTCTCCTTTGATCTCTTGCCCGGATCTGAGTGCCTTCGCTTTTCTTCTACTCACAGCACTGAGCTCCACTGAGTCTTATTTATATTCCAGAACTTACCTTTGGCCTTTCTGATGACTATCAGTGTCTCTGACATCTTCAGCTACTCATGGATCACCGTTGCCATCACCAACACTAATTTATTAGGGACCCGACTGTATGTGCAGCTAAGTGCAATACTGCACAAGAAGGACGACCTTGACCAGGGGCCGCCCTTACAGAGTGGGACAGAAAATATTGGCCTGGAGACACACAGACACACACACACAAGCACAGAAAGAAAAACCGTAACAATGTCAGTAAGAACAATAATGATGATATGTATGGTTGGATAATAAAGTACATAACTATATGTCTCCAATGAATAAATCTCCGGGACAAAGACAGTTTGCCCAAATTTGTGTGGAGAACAGAGAAAAGTGTTGTACTAAGTGTTGTCCAAACTGGCCCAAGGCAAATGAGAACAGCGGTTCTGCAGTTAAATCCAGAAAACCTTAGAAGACATAAGTTCTTCCACTGTTGTTGCAGGGGCCATTTGTCCTCCTCTTACTCTCCCCTAACTCATTCCATGTTCAAAAACCTCTCGTGGCTCCCTATTGCCTATAAAACAGCTTTGCATGAAATGTACAGCCCTATAAAAATCTTATCCATGAAGTGCCTTTCCAATCATAGCATGAATATTTCCCTTCATCACTACAGTTTCGATTTTTTCAGCAAAATGCCTAATAGCAGACTGTTCATTTTCTCCTCTGATTCAGGTGAATACCCACTCTTTAGACATAGCTGGACATGCAACAGACCCTGAGCCTGGCCTGGGGTTCCACACCTAATGGGGCCTCCCTACCACCCAGTAAAGGGAGAGCAGCCATTGGAGGTGACCTGACCCATGAAATGTGCCCAGCTTTAGAACAATCCTCGCTATTTCTTTTAAACATGTGCACACCAACTTTCCAGTGTGACATAATGACTAAGAGCCTAAATAACCACTAGAGCAAGGTCCTGGGTTCAAACTCTGACTCTGCTACTAACTAAAGTACCTGGCTCTGTTACTGATGAGTAACTGGGAAGTTACTTAATCTCTCTGTGCCTCAGTTTCCTCCTCAAGTCAAGTTGCTGGGAGGACTTAAGGCATCACTGTGTTTAAATACTTAGAGCTGCACATGGAAAATATTGGTTACTGTGATCTCATAGTATTGCCTTAACAGAAAATTGTCTTCAACGTTTCATTTTTTTTAATAAAATTCTTCATTCTACTCCATGATATCTATTGGTTTAAATAGAAAATTGTTTTTGCTTCATTTTCTCAGAGCCCCTATGTTCCTGGCAGCTTAAAGAACCAACTGGGAGATCCATAACCATTTGACAAGCACAGCCACACACGGGTCCTCTCCGCTCCAGCTGGCTGAATCCTGTTGTCTGAACTAACCAGCAAGAACTGTCTCTGCTGGCGTGCCCTCCACTCCTCTGTCCAAACCTTAACCCTTTTTCAAGGCCAGCTCCAGTCCTTCCCAGACACCCACCTCCCCTGCTGCCACAGTCCTCCGCTCCTGTCACTCCCTCTCCCTGGCTATGTATTCTCTGCTGTCATGGGAGTTGGCTCCCTTTTCGCTGAGAGGTAGAAACTTCTGCTCTTTGTGTTCTTACAGTGCTTGGTGCAGTCCCAGGAACAAGGTCAGTGCTCAGTGCTCTTTCATTGATTTCATTTTTAAAAAGAGAAATCAGTGATATGCCATTTCTCCTCCTCTGTCTTAACAAAATCCCACAATACATCCCCTCGAAGAAGAGGAAAATATACATAAAGCCTAAAAAACCAGTCAACATGCCCAAGCTAAACACACCTTGAGAACTAGGAATGTCTCTTAGGAGTGTTTTTACAGTTATAAATGCTGCACTGTTCCGCCAATGAGTTTCAATCAAATTAATGAGGATCAGCCATGCTGGCACAAGCTCACTAGCCAAGCTGTAAGGCTCAGATTCGCTGAAGATTGATCATCTAGAAACTGTGAGGGAATGACTTGCCTCAAACTTACTGGCAGATCTGTGTGGGTCTAACCCAGGCATTCACAAAGTCCCCTTTACTAGAACGATCCCACTTTAAGATTAGCACTACAGAAAATTTCCAGGCCAAGTTTGAACTGGAAAAAGATCAGTTCTGCCTATCACACCAGTTACTGTCCAACTAACTTCCTCTAGAGTTTTCTGTTTGTTTAAAGAGTCTCTGGTGTACAGAGCTATAAAATTTTCTCATATCCCCCACTCCCTACCCATTTCCCTGCAATTCTCTGAAGTGATCTATGTGTGCAAAACCCAGTGAGCTCACCACCTCCTATGCCATGTGTGCCTTAGCCTATAAACATGGTAGAATGCATGAGCCCCAGTTTTTATTTTTTTTATCTTTTAGTATGATTATTAAAATAGTTTTATGAATCATTTGTCAAAATGGATGAACACTGTTGTATAATCCTGAATACATACTATGTTGGTGTTGTGATTGCCCTGATATTTTTAAAATTTTATTTAAATTTATTTATTTGCATTCATTCAGTGTACATCATCACAGCATGCAAAATGAGGTTTTGCATCCAGAGTACACTGTATATTGTCTCAATCAAGCACATCAACAAACATGTTATTGTCAGCAAATAATTTTCCATTTCTTGTTTTCTGTATGTTTTTCTTTTTTTCCCCCATCCTTGATTCCCTATCTGTTACCCTCTGCCATCTCCCACTCTCCTCCCACACTGTCTCTGGTATCTATGTTTGCTTTCTATACTGTTTTCCCCCCACATTTTATTGAATTACTAAAGACCTTAATTAATCTAAATATTTTCATAGCAAACACAGCTGATATGTACATTTCCATGAATACAAGCCTAACTTTAGACATCCTATAAAGTAGCACCTAGCTGGAGAGCCCCAATTTTTAAAGGTATATTTAAAAACCTCTCCTGGTGAACTGCGAGCTGCTTTCACTACCACAGAAAGAGCCAAAGGTGAAGGAATTTGTCGGGCCTTACCTGAACATGTTTTCTTATCCGCATTCAGGGTGTAGCCCTCAAAGCATTCACAGTGATGGGAGCCAGCTCCGTCATTCACACAGATGTGCTGGCACCCATGTGCACCAAAAGCACATTTATCTTGAGCTGGCAAATGAAAGTCAAAGAGAAAAGAAAGAAAAATTGAAAGGCTCCTCTATTACCCATAGCTAGAAATCTTTTGACCCACAGTTAGAATTTTATAAGGGGAAACTTATTGGGAATTATCCAAAGCCACCAGCACTACCTGCTCTAAGCAGAAGTTAGCTGAGTTAAAGTCCTACACACACAATTATTCTTTGAGCTTGCCCAATTTCTTTTTTTTTTTTTTTTTTTTTGAGAGATTTTTCACTATAGGGTACGTGCACTCGCCAGACAGACAGAGAGACAGAGACAGAAAGCGAGAAATCACCCCCCAGGGGGGATGGTCACGCCGCAATCCCTTCTCCTCCATTCTCCTCTCGAGATCTTGGGCATGCATGCACACGTGCCCGGCATGAGTTTTAAGCCACCGGGTCCGGGACGCGAACCGCGGTCGACTATGTGGGAGTCCAGCGACATAGCCATTACGCTAACTGCTGTTTCCCCCCAATTTCTCTTTAAAAATCATCAGTATTGAGTTTTTATAATCTATGAGTCTTTGAAATACTTGGTTTGGGTTTTGTTTTTGTTTGTTTGATTGACTGTGTGGGATGTGACTTGGAGAAAGGGAAAGTGAGAAATCACTACCCACGAGGATAGCCACATCGCAATCCCTTCTCCTCTATTCTCCTCCTGGGATTTTGAGCATGCGTGCATACATGTCTGGCAAGATTTTCAAGCCACCAGGTCTGGGACTCAAACGCAGTCAGCTATGTGGGAATCCAGAGCCTTAACCACCACATTACTTGCTGGCCCCCAAAATACTTTCTAAAGCATACTTCTAGGTTTACTGTATTTACCCAACTCAGAGGAATACCAACAGCTGTGTGGCTAATTACACTAGACTCAGAAAAAACAGAGTTTGAAGAAATTGTAGTCCTCTGAGGAAAATGAGCTCAAAGGAGACCACTTGACTCAGAGGAGCATCAGAACTCAAGACCCAAATTTTCCTTCAATGAATGTTACTCTGTACTGATACATTTTTAACTATAAAGAGAGAAATCACCTCCCAGGGGGGATGGCCATACGACAATCCTTTCTCCTCCATTCTCCTCTTGGGATTTTGGGCACACAGACACACACACCCAGTGTGAGTTTTAAATCCAGGACTTGAACTATATCTGGCCATGTGGGAATCCAGTACCTTAACCACTATGCTATCTGCTGTTCCCACTATATTTCATTGTTAAACTTGCCATTTTGAAGTAACTTCAGAATTATGAAAAGGTTGTCAAAATAATCTAAAGAGTTCCTGTACTTTTCCCTGTTTCCACAAATGCTAACCGCTTACATAACCACCGTGTGATGATCAAAACCAAGAGATCAACATTGATACACTATGGCTTACTAATCTCTGGACTTTATTCATATTCTTCCAGTTGTTCCACTAACCCCATTTTTTCTGGTCCAGGACCCAGTCGAGGACCCCACGTTGCATTGATTTTCACATCTTCTTAGTCTCCTCCAATCTGGGACATGTCCTTAGCCTTTGACTTTTCTGACTGTGACACTTTTGAGAAGTACGGGGAAATTATATTGTGAGCTGAGAATGTCTCTCAGTTTGGGTTAGTCTAATGTTCCCACATGATTCTGAACTTCAGCAAGAATATCATCGATGTGGTAGTGTGTCCTCAGGACATCGTGTCAGGTGACACGTGCTACTGCGCGGTGTCATCGCTGATGATGTCAAGCTTGATCACCTGGTTGGGGCGGTGACTACCAGCTTTCTCCTCTATAAAGTTACTGTCTTTCTCTTTGTAAGCAATGAACATGTTGTGAGGTGTTATTTGATCTTGACTTAACTTAAACCGTCTGTAGCATTCGGAAAGGACTGTTAGGGTTGGGTCCAGAGAAGGAAATGAGCAACACATTTCATATGTGTGCCATGATACATACATGTACTGCTTTTAGTTCTTTATATAAGACTTTGAAATGGGAAAAGCCCAAGGACGGCAAGAGAGAAAAACAGACCAAGTTCCTAGTCAGTGAGACCTCTGCCTCCACGCTGGATAAAGAGGGAGGAAGGGAGGGAGGGACGTAACTGACAACAGCAGAGGCTTCTCCCCCGCTTACCTGAACAGGTTTTCTTGTCTGCGTTCAAGGTATAACCTTCGTAGCACTCACAGTGATAGGAGCCAGCTCTGTCATTCACGCAGACGTGTGCGCACCCGTGCGTGTTAAGAGCACACTTATCGGTAGCTATTGAAAGACGATTAGGACACGTGAACACATGGAAACAGCACTGAATAATTACAAATCGCTCTACTTACACACACACACACACACACACACACACACACACACAGCACTCACAAAAAAGGGGTATCGTCGCA